CTCCCAACTCTGGACCTGCCAAAGTTCTCCGGGGTCCTTTCCGAATGGCTGACCTTCGTTGGTCTTTTCGACAGCCTAGTGGACGCCCGGAGTGACTTGACCCCGTGCCAAAAGATGGCGTACCTCCTGGCCTCATTGGAGGGGGAGGCCCTGGGCGTCGTCGGCCACTTGAGATTGTCGGACGACGCCTACCAGACTGCTCGGGACCTCCTAGCCAGAAGATACGCCAACGTGCGGCGAATTGCGGACGAACATGTGAAGCAGCTTCTAAGCCTCCCGCTGCTTAGTGACCGGGCCAGACTGCGTCCGGACCTGTTGGATCCAGTCCTGGTAGCCTGTAATACGTTGAGGCGGCTGGATTTACCAGTGGGCGAATGGGCTTTTTGTTGCTCCGCATCGTGCTGTCCCGTCTACCTCTCGAACTTCGAATCCATTTTGAGGAGAGGTACGGCGGGGACGAGGCCTCCTATATTCCGCCCTTCTATGACCTGCTGCGGTTTTCGGAGGAGCAGTGCCGGCAGATCGAAAACGCGACGGGTGCCGTTGACAACTTACGAGCCGTGCCCAGTGAGAGGCTGAATCCGCCAGGCAAGTCGTCGTCAACCCCCCCTGCTCCTATTGTCGAGCATCTGATCACCGGGTAACGTCGTGCCCGAAATTATTAGGTAAGCCGGTTCCGGTGAGGCGAACTATCGCCAAGGAGCGCCGCTGGTGCTGCTCATGTTTGGAAGGGCACCTCCAGCGAGACTGTCCGCATCGGCGGCCCTGTTTGCATTGCCAGGGCAATCACCATGCAGTTTTGTGCCTGGGTGCGAACGGCGTCTCCTCTCGGGGCTCTGCCAGGCCCTCGACCCCCACGGGCGGGGGCGCTCAGCCACGCCCACTGCCGGGCGACTTTCGGCGCCCGCCGGCCAGCCACCGGGCCCCTAGGTTTGGAAGGGGTCCCTCCCCCGACCAGTCGGGGGGTAATTCCCCCAGGGGCGGGGGTGTCGCCTCAGCGTGTGGAGAGCAACTTCACGGCCACTCATCGGTCCGCTGGACCCTTCTCACTCCCGTTAGCTGAGTGGCCGCGACTGGTGTACCACTGTTCCCCATTTGATGGAGGCGGCCCTGGCTAGCTGCCGCCTTAGCTCCCACCACGGCCGCCTCCACTGAGCCTTAAGCCGTCAACAGTCCACTTGTCAAAATGTTCTGTTGCCGAGGTAAATAAAAGTCAATTATTCTCCTTTGGTTTACATTTTGTTGGCACTGTCTAAGTTACGTAAATGAGAAATAGGGCTGTCTCTTACGTTATTGTTTTGTTTAATTTGTCAAGTTGACCTATGTGCATCGGTGATTAATTTGGTTGAATTGATTCTGTAGTTGAACATTGATGCTTTGAAAAATTAGTTGAAATATGAGCATAGGACTGCTTGTCTAACAAGCTAGCTAGTTTTGGAGATTATCAGATTGAAATCAGCTGCCGCACTATTTTAGTAAATGATAATATAGTGGGTGGCCTGGCTAAGCCTACTTGTTGAAAATTCATACTAGGGACTATCTGTGCGTTTCGTTCGGCTCTCCACAGACGACGTTCATGTGGAATTTGTGGGTACTCTCTGCACTGAAGCTTAGGGGGCCGCTCTGGGACGCTTCGTGGCGCGTCGCTGTTTGCAGACCTGATCCGGTCGGATTGCGGAACTAATCGTAGGGGCACAGACAGGTGTTTGAAAGAGGTCGTCGGACTTCTGCCCAGAATAGGACTTATTTATGGGCTGCGATGTCCAGGAAGGGCATCCAGTTCAACCCTCCGGCTTGCCCACGTTGGGGCGGTAATTTTGAGGCGTTGGTTAGGGTTGCAAGATCTGATGGGGTGCCTAAGGTGGCCTAGTTTGGTTGTAGATTCGGTCTTGCAACCTGCCGTCGCGACCTTGTCCCGCTGACCGGTTTGCTCGCGGACCTAAATCCTTATGTCCGGGGCGGGGGTTTGTTCGCGCCAAACGCTGTTGTCGGAATCGACGTCTAGGGGGCGCGCGGCTCGGTGCCATACCGGTTTGACAGTTGGATGTGTCTAGCGCGCGCGAGTGCAAGTCAGTAGTCTGCCAGCTGTGCTTGGAACCGCACGCTGTCATTTTTGTCGGGAACTCGGAATAATTAGGCGCGGCCAGTAAATATACGGTCTAGGATTTGTGACGCGCATTCTTTGATGGAGAGCTTCCCAGGGACTCATTGTGATGACTCAGAATCTGCACAAGTTCACTCGGCAATATTACCTAGTGCGGCCTTTGATATTCTAGAAATAACAGTTGCTACGCGAAACGGTAGTGACCTTTGATCCGGACACTCCGTGTTTTTTTTTGTGCGTTAACCTTATAACAAACGAGAGTTAGTGACTTCTGTAAGTTAATTAATCGTACGATAGAGTTAATGGACTGTCATCGTGACGAACTTAGAAGTGGTCCGGCGCCGAACCAGTCTGAAGCGGTGCAGCATTTTGGAGCAGCCTGGAACTCGGCCGCTGCTGGTCGCCTATGCTTGACAAGGCCCCACACATTCACACCCCACTGTACACTACTCGCCATCCACTATTACACACACTCACGGCCTGCCCAAGCCTTGGTGGGAAGTTAGCTTCGGATAATGGTAAGTACTATGTGTTTCTAGCTTCCTCCCATATTGTTTATTGTAATTAGGAAATTCCACGCGGCCATATTGAGGCCCGACCTACGTCTGTTTGTTGAAACTCCGCTGATGGGCCCCGGAGGATTTGAACTTTAGGCGAGCAGCCGTAGGCCGTAACATCATGGATCATGAATTTATGCCAGCCACAGTAGATAGACAGTACAGATAGTACATATATTTATGTGTAAGTAAGTAGTAATTACTTGTACTAGAAGCAAGTGTACAGTTTGCATAAGTATTGTAACTTAGTTAAGCCATTTTTACTTGTGTAATGGTTATATCCTTGTTATGTGTTGTTAGCTCTGCAAAAAGGGATATTATTTTGTAATCTATTATCACATAGCTAATACAAAATAATATATAGATAATATACATAGTTAAATATTGTTGATGTAAATCCATAATTACTACTTGTGTATTTGCTCATCTGGAGCTGATTAATGGTGTATATTTTAAAACAATTTCTTATTTATTTAACATACTGGAAGAGACAACAAAATACTGACAGAAATATGGAAATGTAGTTTATTGACATTGAAGTATAGTGTATACATAATCTTATCTCATATCTCTTATTACTGAAAATGTCCTGAATTTTAACAATAATATCATACGTGGATGTATTTTTTTTTGCTTTAAATTGTTCGAAATTGAAACCAATACAAACACAAACATAGACCTCACATGCTATTTAGATAGCAGTAAATATAGAAAAAATAATATATACAATATTTATTAACTTTTTTCAGGTGAATCGTGCTTACAATAAATGTCTTGTAGGCTGAAATCTTGCAGAGCTGCTCGTAGGCAGAGAAAAAAGTATATGGATATTGAATACAACTACAATAGTTATATATCATATCTCATAACATTAAAAATATCCTTGTTATGTTATTATCAAGTTATTTTGAAAGGATAATGACTTACAATAATAACATCATAAAATACATTTAATTTCAAATTAAATATTACAATTAAATTAAACATGTGTTTTTGTTATCCTTACACAACCAGTTTAAAACATCTTAGTTCATATTTATGTGTGTAATAACATAGATAAGCATGATATTACCTAGTCATTTTGGCTTTAATGGTATTTGGGGTATGATAACTAATCAGTTAATATATTTTAAAACAAAGTTTACACACTGCACCCTTACTGATTCAACCAAAACATATTAAAGTCTTGACACCGCACCTGTCTGTTCCACTATTAATAGACTGCTTTGGAAATAATTACAACAACAAATGCAGTGGCATTTTACTTTTTGTTTTAGCCTTATACAAACAGTTTAAAACATCTTACTATATAGCATGTAAAGGTAGTATTATAAATGGTCATATTATCCGTTATTCATCTTGTCTTTAATCATATTTATTTAATTAATTTAATGGTGTTTGTGATGTATATTCACTAATCAATTAATACCTGTAAAAAATGGTCCCCACACTACGTTTGTTTGTCTGTACACTAAGGAGGTGTTTAAAAGGATTTTCCACCTGCATGGCAACTATGGCAAATATGACGCAATCCACGGGGGAAGCCTATGTTCAACAGAGTAGTTTTAAAGGCTGTAACGGTAACGATAAACGTCGAAGTGAAAAAAGTAAAACGTAAACTATCATTTAAATAAAAAAAAAACATGAAGGTCTAGTCTGTTTCCACTAACCTCCATTCACGCATACGGTATTTATTTTAAGGTTCCAATATTTTTTGCTTTCTACCGACTTCAAAAAGAAGGAGGTACTCAATTCGACTGTATGTTCTTTTATATGTTTATTACGTCTTAACTTATTCTGCATGAACCGATTTCGATAATTCTTTTTTTTTTATTTGAAAGTTGGTGCTTCACATGTGATCCCATATAAATTTTATCAAGGTCTGACCAATAGTTTTTGAATTATTCTTAATAATTTATATTGAATTCGGTTGTACAAAATTTAAATTAGGTATTGAATTAACTTCTTCAGAATAAATGCAGTTTCAAATTGCACATAAGGCACGGAAAGGTTTTTCTATTTGTCATATAATTACATCACAAATTCACAAAACATAGATTTTTATCTGGTACACATATATTTATATAAAACACGTTTACACAATATTTTTTTTTCTTTTTGTTAAAAACGTTACCCCCACACTAGGATTTTCTCCTGTATCGTGGAGGCAGTTTACAAACACAAATTGCACAAGGACAAACATTCAGACACGGAACAATTTTTTGTAGGCCATACAAATACTTGTTCCGTGCGGGATTCGAACCCGCGCCCCCCAGCGCAGCAAGTCATTGCTAAGCCACTGCGCCACGGAGCCGTCGGTACATATTTTACCAGATAGCTCACGAAAAAGGTTTTGCGCCAGTGTGTGTTTTTAAATGTCTTTGCATATCATATTTTCTAATAAATCTATATTCACAGATATTACACGAAAAAGGCTTTTCACCAGTATGTATTTTCATATGTTTTTGCAAATCACTTTTTGTACTACATCTATATTCACAGATATTACACGAAAACGGTTTTTCTCCAGTATGTATTTTCATATGGGTTTGCAAATTACTTTTTCTAACACATCTATATTCACAGATATTACACGAAAACGGTTTTTCTCCAGTATGTATTTTCATATGGGTTTGCAAATCACTTTTTGTAATACATCTATATTCACAGATATTACACGAAAACGGTTTTTCTCCAGTATGTATTTTCATATGGGTTTGCAAATGACTTTTTGTAATACATCTATATTCACAGATATTACACGAAAAAGGTTTTTCACCTGTGTGTATTTTCATATGTGTTTGCAACTTATTTTTTCTAATACATCTATATTCACAGATATTACACGAAAAAGGTTTTTCTCCGGTGTGTATTTTCGTATGTGTTCGCAAAGTACTTTTTGTAATACATCTACATTCACAGATATTACACGAAAACGGTTTTTCTCCAGTATGTATTTTCATATGGGTTTGCAAATTACTTTTTCTAACACATCTATATTCACAGATATTACACGAAAACGGTTTTTCTCCAGTATGTATTTTCATATGGGTTTGCAAATCACTTTTTGTAATACATCTATATTCACAGATATTACACGAAAACGGTTTTTCTCCAGTATGTATTTTCATATGGGTTTGCAAATGACTTTTTGTAATACATCTATATTCACAAATATTACACGAAAAAGGTTTTTCACCGGTGTGTATTTTCATATGTTCTTGCAAACGACTTTTTGTAATACATCTATATTCACAGACATTACACGAAAAAGGTTTTTCTCCGGTATGTATTTTCATATGTTTTTGCAACTGACTTTTTCTAATACATTTATATTCACAATTATTACAACAGTACATTTGTTTAGCGACGTGCGCTTTAAGATGTGTCAAAATGTAACGTTTTTGAGATGTTTTAAATTCGCAAATATCACAATTAAATATTTCTGTTTGTTGTGGTACTGGAGTTAGTTCTACTTGTGTCCCAACTGCAGTGGTGTCTGAGTTCTTTTGCGTCTTATGACTGTATGAAATATGTTTGGCGAGAATATCTTTTGTTGAAAGTTTTTTACTACAACCATCAGATTCAAAAATGTATTTAGTTGATGTCCCAGATGTTTTTTTCTTAAGTATATTTACACTCTTTTGTTTCAAAATGTTGTTTTTCATAATCTTTGCAGGATGCTTTTCTTTTTTATTAATTGGTAGATTATCTTTTTTCATTTTAGGGTTTGATTCAATAGGAGGGCCTTCAAAATCGAGGTCTTCTTCACGAACATGGTTTATGTTACAATCAGTAGAATTTGATTTAATCTTCTTCTCAGAAGTTTCTGAAAAATTATTTGTTGAAGTTAAACTTTTTATTTATTGTAAGTTATTGCATTTTTATTGCAAGACACCTTAAACGGTTTACAATGGGCGGAGTTTATGAGTTATGGCATTCTCTATCAGTTAACCCAGGGAGAAATAAGGAAATTATAATATTTTACATAATAATACTACATAATGTTGCTAGATATAATCTAGCCGATTTTCTTCTATAGGATAAGGGTGACAAATGAGCATACAGTCCACCTGAAGGTAAGTGGTTGCTGCGGCCCATAGACATCTACATCTATCCCCTATTAGAAATCAAAATGTAGATGCATTGTCACCCGTGAGGACTAAGATGGAATGCCTCATTTCCAGTAAAAAGGGCCTCCGGCCACCTGCACTCACCAAGCGAAACGCAGAGGTAAAGAGTTTTCTGTCGTTAGATTAGGTCGTGGTACCACCCCGGTTCGAGCCGGCCCATCCGTGCGACAGCAAAAGCTGCTGCGTGGCTCTACCACTGTGAATTTATGATTACTCTGAATAATGTCTCTCATATTCACTTTTCGAGGAAATAATGGTTTTTCTGACCATGTTATAATTACATTAATCGAATAATCGCTATACACAAAGTACGGACGAAGTTAGCGTGGAAGTGCGTGAGAGAATTCATCATCACATTTTATCCCGTGGATTTCGTAAGAGGAGACTATGGGTTTTTCCAGAAAAATCTGATGGCTTCCGACAGATGCCGGTATAACCACCTGGTTTACTTCAGATGTAAAATATCCAGACCGGCGCCAGGCAACATTGCCAGAGGTGCTCACATCTGGTTCTGCGATCGTCAGTCCTATGCCAAGCGTGACGCTCAAGTCAAATCCTCCCTACATCGGGAGAGATTCTTCCATGTTCAGCAGAGGAAGTTTACGTGAAGATTAAGATAGAGGAATTATTTGCAGGTCATACAAAGATTCACAAGCCCTGGTAGCTCGGAGGTCCGTCCTCCACTGGTACCAATAAAATAGTTAAGTTTGTAAGTAGGTATGTATATATTTTGTATGTATGTATACATACATACATACATACATACATACACGCCGTTTCCGTTCTATCGATCCTAACAGCTTCGATGGAAACCGTATTGAAGGCACAGATTACTTAATAGTTTACTAAACAGATACATCACTCTCATACAAAAGAGAAAATACCTACGCTATAATAGCCTACAAAATCTTAATAATATTTGCTGTTCGCAGCGAGAGGAAAATGTACCATAAATACCCGTATAAAGAGTCGAAATTGTGATTACCGCCGTGCGACTCACGTGCAACCTATGATGATTATTGTAATAAAACGAATCTTGCGAAATAACCGTATTTTTTATTTGTCAATAAAATATGTTTGAGTTTTATAAAATGATTTATACATTTTTTTCCTTCTCTGAATTCTCGGTTATTAGATAACGATAAACGTTGAAAATGGTTGTCACTCAATTTATAAATTACAGCACTGTTATGCTTTGTTTCGATGTAACCTTATAGTTAAAAAAAAGACTGTTTCATTTGTTTTTTGACTCTTTACGTGGTTTCGGCATTTCGACGAGTAAGCGCGGGAAACGTGTGCAGTGCAAGCGCTCAGGCGGGCGTGCGGCAGCCCTATGTCGGTTGTATCGTGGGCGAACGCTGCCCAGCCGAGTTGAATTCATCGATTGACCTCTCGGTCGAAGTTGGGCTTACCTAGTCGGACTATTTGTCCCAGGTAAACATACTCGTCAACAACTTCGAGGTTAGTGCTCCCAACAACTACCGGTATAGGTGTGACATGGACATTAAACATATGTTAATACCGTATCCTTTCCAGTCCAGAAGCTTGAAAACATCTTCCAATGCAGCGGTGAAGAGTTTCGGAGATATAACGTCACCCTGTCTTACACCTTTCTGCAATTGTATAGGTTTCGTACTCTGGTTCTGTACTCGGATAGCCATCGTAGCCCTACTGTATAAGCACTTCGATATACCGACAGTCAACTTGGCACCGCTGAATGGACTGCAGCACCGCCCAAATTTCGGCGGAATCAAAGGCTTTCTCATAGTCCACATACGCCAGACATAGTGGCAAATTGTACTCCTCGGACTTCTGTACAACTTGCCGAAGGGTATGTATGTGGTCTATGGTGCTAAAGCCCTTTCGGAAACCGGCTTGTTCGGAAGGCTGGAAGTCGTCTGCGTGCGAGACGATTCGTAATGACTCTCGAAAACAACACGTAGACGCGACTCAGAAGGGAAATCGGTCTGTAGTTCTTCAAGAGAGCGTTGTCACCTTTCTTGAAGAACAAGACCACCGCACTTCTGCGCCACGCCTTCGGTGTAATGCCGCCATGGAGGACGGAATTAAAGAGCTTCTGAAGGACTTCAAGTACCGGTTTTCCACCCGCTTTCAGAAGCTCCGCTGTAATTCCATCCTCGCCTGGGGCCTCTCCGCTTTTAAGGTGCTGGAGAGCCATTCTAATCTCGCTCAGACTGACGTCCGGGATATCTTCGGAATAGTGTCAGATAAGACTCGCTCTTGGATCGTTACTCACACTTGCGTGTGGCTCCAACGATGACGTGTACTGCTGTCCATAGAACCTCTCAATCTCACTCAAAATCTTAGGTGTCCCAGAAACGATGCTGCCACATTCGGTCTTCAGCTTTGACAGTTGGCTCTTTCTGGCAGACAGATCCCTGGCAAAGACTTTGGAGCCTTGGTTCCGCTCGATTGCTTCTTCAATACAAGCTGTATTGAAGTTGCGTAAGTCCCGCCGCATGCATTTGGAGATCTCTCTGTTCAGATGCCTGTATGCTGCCATGAGATTAAGAGTGTGATCGGAGAGTTTTTGTGTTCTTCTGCGGCGGGTCTTGCAGAACTTAGTTCCGACCGCATGGACAGTTTCCACGAGCTTGTCATTCATATCGTCCACTTCATTGCAGTCTTCTGGGCACTGAAAACGGTTTTATAACTCGAACTGAAAGGTTTCGGGACTCTGGAACAGAGCACGAGGGGGACGGAGCGTTGACTTCATTAGACGAGACCTCTCCAACTTAACGTTTATTAGGTTCAGTGTGCCTCTGACCATTCGGTGATCGCTACCAGTTTTCACCCTCGCGATCACGGAGACATCACTGAACAGTTGTCGTCTGGTCGTCATAATGAAGTCAATCTCATTTTTTGTCGAACCGTTGGGGCTCGACCAGGTCCACTTCCTGTGGGGCCGCTTCTGGAAGAAAGAGTTCATCATAAAGAGTCCCTCTGTCTCCATGAAGTCGGTCAGCTGCTGGTCCCTTGGGTTCCGTTGCCCTATTCCAAATTTCCCTACTTTCAGCTCACCGTTCTCTCTTGTGCCTAGTTTTGCATTGAAGTCTCCCATTAACACCGTATATTGGGTTTTGGAGGAATGCATGGCTCTAGAGATATCCTCATACACTTCCTCCACCTCCTCATCGGGGTGTGCCGAGGTTGGTGCGTAAGCCCGTATGACCTTCAGCGAATACCGTTTGGTGATTCTGAGTATAAGGTACGCAACCCTCGTCGACACACTCTCAATCTTTACAACGTTGTTAACGAGAGACTTGTGGACGATAAATCCGACACCTCCTTGGGACAGATGGTCGCCCTCCCGGTGATAGAGCAAGTTGCCGGATTCGAGGATTACCGTGTCCTCCCCCTCTCTTCGGACTTCGGATAATCCTATAATATGCCAGCGTAACTTGTCTATCTCTTCTTCCAGCTACACAATTTTCTCGTCAGTCCTCAGGGTGCATGCGTTGTATGTTGCCAGGTCGAGTCGTCTTAGGTGGCAACCGAACCTCCACCGGAGATTCTTAGCATGTCCTGCCCCACCGTAACCATGGTCGCCACCGTAGCCAGGAATAGCGGGGCCGCCGTGGACTGGGGGCCATCTCTTTGTTACATTCATAGGGGGGTATTTGCC